GTTCTAAATTATTCCTACGTGGCGGCTGGTAATTGGCTTGCTGGCCGTTTAAAATTTCGTGCGACTTCCGCCCAAGTCGGAGAACTTTGAGCACGCTGCAGAGTGCCTCTAAAGAGATCTGACTTGCGGCTGAGCTAATCGATAGACTGATCACCTATCGATTCTTCTCCCCGTCGCCAAGCGCAATCCCCGACATACCCTTGCCCCGCTGGCTTGATTTGTGGACGGATGAGCTAGCCTGACCCTTGCCAGCTGGAACAACTCACGTAGTTGTTCAGACGACCGGACCGTCAGCGTTGCAGCTACAAGCGGCGTAAGTAAAGTTTTGCAACCAATTAAGCCTTGTCTGCCTCTCTATTCACCAGCCCACCCAACGAACGAGTAATTACTAGATCACCTCGAGTCGGCTCTGGCCGTCCGAGACAACATGAACTTCCTTGAAGTGCAGTAGAAGAAAGACAGGATTTGGTTTTAAGTGAGCATGAGGAGATTTTAATTTGGGGTAATACTACAGAAATAAGGTCATGCAGTTCCACCTAGCTGTTTACGTCCCAGGCTAACCACACACAAACTATACACTCACCTATAGGCTTGTTTATATTACAAAGATGCTGCTACTATAGCTATGCAGATGTAGATAAGTCAGCCGAGCTTTCTAGTGGCAATTGTGTGCATACTGCTGGAGAGGTTTTTCGGCTGTCATAGTTATACCATCTTCAGTTACATTTGCTAAGATGGCAAAAGGCCCCCTTGGTTAGCATATCTGCCTCATGTATAGGATAGGATTTTTTCACACCTCTAGCTAACATAGCTACATTGGCAAAAGTCTGTTGTGTAGACCAAGCTTAAGTGTTAACAGAAACAAAGCAGTACCATATACCTGATATCGGTGTACTACAATGCATGTGAATCATGTAAAGCCAGATGGGCACCTGCCATTCTGAAGCAAGCCTGGGGTGCTGCAAAGTTTGCTAGTAGGTCACCACGAGAGATGGGGAGAGGGGAGATTTTTCACCTATGTTACAGCTCTTTCTGATGGAATTGCTCTGGGTCAAAATGTAGTGTAAGCCTCCCTATTTAAGAGGAAGGGTTTTGTTGAATATGTAGGGGTCGCCATATGGAGGGCAGAACAAGTTCTAACACTACTGGTCTTTCAGAGATTATTATTCCTCTCAGGCCTATTCCTTCCTCCTGTTCCTATGAAGTGTGAACACTGATTTCAATGGGAACAAAGCAGAGCCCTTCGCTATATGATTCATTCTAATTTTCTCCTCTGTTCAGCAATTTGATACACATGTAGGCGAGGGTGGAAACCAGATGAGCGGAGGTCAGAAACAAAGGATAGCTATTGCTCGAGCCCTTGTCCGAAACCCAAAAATCCTGCTACTGGATATGGCAACATCAGCATTGGACAACGAAAGTGAAGCTATTGTCCATGAAGCGCTTCATAAGGTTTGCTTTTTATGGTGGTAATCAAGTTTAGAGAGGCATAAATACATTTTCAATGTATTGTAGAAGGTGCTTACACAGTGTGTAAACAAAAAAATAAAAAAATCAGTATTTATGTTTTCCTTTAACATTTGTTTCACACGTACTAAGTGGTGCAACATAATTAATGATAGGGAATTGCTCTTAACATTTTCTATGTACTTAAAAAAGAATCTGGAGGTATACAGGTAAAAATTCCAGCCATTCTGGAAAATAAATTTCCAAATGAGCACTGGAAATGCATGTGATTTTCTTTTATAATTTCTGTCAATCTAAAAGGTCATAATTTAACTTCACTACAGATTTCAGTTGAACGGCTATTTTGAAAACAAAATGTGAAAATTTTTACTTTGATTTTTACATATCCAAGCTACTTACTGCTTAGAAAGGGCCCAAAATTTCCTAAGAAATCAACTTATTCTCAGGGTGAAAAATTAATTAGAATAATGTTGTTAGTGAAATGGGTCTACTTTCATACTTGTAGGGAAATGGAACAACTATGATTTTTTTGAGTGGCTTTGTTTTGCACTGAAAAATGCAACACACCTTTTGCCATGAGCAAAATATGGTTTGTTTGATTTTTTTAAAAACAGAAGCAGAATTTTCAAACTTGGTTGCTTAAGGCCAGTGCCTGTCACGTTGTTATATGGAAATATCAGGATGTGAGCCTTTTATATGCTGAAGGTATTTCTTCAACAGACAACCTGATTACAATAGATTATCTGAAGAAGGAAGAGCTCAGTTTCCTTTGTTAAGTCAAGAAGCAACTATTTGTGGGAATGGAGCAGTTAGAGCAAAATATGCCCATCTGCAGATTGTTGATTTTTGCCAAATGAAGTTAACCAGATTAGTGCTGAATGTCATATTGGATTGACTCAAAATAAACACTGAGATTTTTTTATTCACCTTTTTAAAAATAAATTCACTTGTATATTTTAAAAAATGCAATCTATACATGGAAAATCCAAATGTTTTGCTTTGGAAATGTAGAAATGAAAGGTTTCAGCTTTTTAGTTTTTCAGTATTTTTCAGCCTAAACAATTCAATGAATTTACAAACTAGCAAATTGTTTCAGAATAGAAACAGGAACCTCTTTAGTAAGAAAAAGTTTCACATGAAAAATCTGCTGAATTCTTACCTTGATATGATCTTGTTTTTACTAGTAGCAAATGCCTGTTTGAGGTTTAGTTCCATATTGGATGAGGACATTATAGAGAAGGACTTTTTTCAGTTGTTCTTATTTCCTAGGAATTTAGAAAACATTTCCAGGTTCTTTTGCTCTGGCAAACTTGCTTTTCATCTCTGCTTGCTTCATCTAGAGAACACCTGTTCATTCCTCCTCTTCGTTAATGCGCTTTCCCCATGGATAACGTGCCCAGAACCCCAAAGCTGCACAGCTATTAAGTCAGTGAGATTCCTTCCGAAGAAAAAATGCACTTCTGCTGGGGTCCAGAAGGTCTTTCCTGGAAAGTATTCTGCTTCTCAGTTGGTGCATCTATATGAGATGCTTACTCCAGAGTTGCGTAATTAGCTCTAAAGTGTCATCGGTTTACACAGACAAGGTTCCTTGGGTGAATTTGATATCTTTTATTAGACCAACCCAAATAGTTGGAGAAAAGTTATTAAGCAAGCTTTCGGGTTCAAAAACCCTTCGTCAGGCTAAGGAAGTTTCAGTAGTTGGTGTGTGCTCTTCCTGGATGGTTTTACACATGCAGAGCTATTAGGGTAGAGTAAACTGATTAACTCTTCCATTGATTAGTACTGTCAGATACAAGTACTATTCTACAGCATAGTTATTTACTCCACTGCAGTACATGTGTAGATGCTGACAGGATTGGCTGGGGCATGAGGGAGCTTCAGTACAGGGCTGCCAGCCAGCTAGCCCTGCCATTAAGCACCCTTGTGCCCCAGCCAGCCCCTCTGCAGCACATTGAGCTGGGTCAGAGCAGCCCCAAGGGCCCCCTGCCAGCTGGGACTGTGCTGCTCTGGCTCAACAGGCTGTGGGCCAGGGTGCATGTTGAAATGCTGTGCCTGAGAACTGTGAACAGTGTGAACTGTGCCAAATTTTATTGCACTGCATTCATATTAATGTGTAGACACACCCAGTGGAATTTTTGTAAGAGGTTTATCTAGAACAAAGATGTGGATACATTTTTGTTCATTTTTTGGCTTCACTTAATCTTTGATATCTAAAGAGAAAAGGGATTGCTTACTAAGATAACCTTCTTGCCTTTTGATTATGCTGGTTCCCCAGGGCATCTCAATTCTGAGTTGCCATCCTTTACCCTGCTTCAGACCATGAGTCCTTCAGCTCCTGGGAGTAGGAGAATGCTGAGGAACCACTGGAAATGATGTTCCTCTTTGATCAGGGATCTTTGTGTCACCACTAACTTTCTTCTACTACTTCAAAAGGTTCTTTGATGCTCAGATGTTAGCCTGATGGGAGCCATATACATATTGAGGTGAAGGGGCTGTCTGCTGGGCATAAAAGAACTAGAGTATTGCAATGTGTACCCTCCATCATATGGAATACACAGCCCCAAGTTAGGCATCCTTGGGGAAATGTAGACATTTAAAAATGGAATCTCACAAAGCAAGCATGCTGAGGGGGGAGCTGCCTAAATTAGCCAGTAGAAAATCCTGAAGGGAAAGATGTATCTTAAGATACACCCCCACTCTAGGACTTAGGCATCTCTCTCTGACTGGGATTCACGCCTGTCTATCATGTTGTGTGTCAGTTTTAACCTGGCACGTGGTCGGAGATTCCCTATTGGATTGGGTCCCACAGGTGAGTGAGGTCGTGGTAGCTTATGGATGCTAATGACATGAGCTAAGTGCTTGACTGCTGAGATTTATGCAGTTTTGGAAATTCCCAAAAGCAGACAGTTAGGCATGTAGGAGCTTCAGATATCTCCATTATTAGGCAGCAGCAAAACAAGGGCTTGGAGGTTACAAATTTTGGAATTATGTGTTTACATAGTTCAGTGGTGCTTAGACATGTGTCTCCTTTGTGGTTCATCAAAACAGTAAGCCATTCAGAAAACATGAATGCATTACTTTAGAAAATCACAACTTTTCGCTGAGTGTATTCTATCTTTCTTGAAATCGAAGTTCTCATCATGTTCATAACAGTTTCAGGTACAGCTTAAGTTTTACTAGCCTTTAACCTTTTCATTATTATTTAAATTAGTATTCATTCATTAGAGGTAGTGTCACTGGTACATGTCATTTATGCAGCAACACATTAGAACTCAACATTTAGGTATTTGTTTACAGTACATGTAGAAAACCTTATAGTCCAAATCAGAGTCAAATCCTCATATCCATCAGCAATCTCTTGCAGTCAAGGATGATTATCTTCTATAATTGTCATATCTATGTGTCTGAAGATGACTGATGAGTAGTGTTCCACATTCTCAGTTTTTATTTTTTAAAAAATTGGGAATTTTTCAGGGTTTACCTTCGAAACATAAAAACTGGGATGAAAAAGAAGAAAAGGAAAAAAACTCATTTTGAATCAGGGAAAAATTGGTGGTGAGGGAGGGATGGACTAAGTTTGGGACTAGGGAAGGGGTGGGGGGACGGGTGCAGCTGGGACTGCAGCAGAGAGCAAAGCAGGGGGAGCTGCTGGTGGGTGCAGGGCAGGGGAGCACAGCTCTTGCTGCTACGTGCCTCCTGGGAGGGCTGCGGGGTTGTGCTGGGCTCTTCCTGGGGGGCATGTGCCCCCAGATCTGCATGCAGGTGAAAACCAGGTTGCCATCTGCCCTGAGCACCGAAAAGAGCCCAGTGCCACTGCCGGCCCCAGTCATCAAGGAGCAGGGCTGGGCTCTCCCGCCTGCCCTCCCCCCACCCCCAGTGGGGCTCAGCTCCCAGTGCCTGGGGCAGGGCCAAAGTCAGAGCCGCCAGGGTGCAGCTTGGGCCCACCTGTCCTGGGATTGATTCCCGTGGCCTGGCCTGTCCTGCCTGGGGTCAGAGCCAGGAGCCCTGTATCCTCAGGCAATGGCTCCAGCCACCCTACCGACTCATGTAGATGCGACCAGCGTATCTCAAAATTTCAGTGTGCTGTCCTAAAAACGTTGCTCCTTCTCTCTGTCAGGCTCATCTAAACCGCACTGCAATCTCAGTGACTCATCGTCTCTCCACAATCAAAACTGCTGATGTCATCATCGGGTTTGAGCATGGAAGGGCTGTTGAGAGAGGAACACATGAGGAGCTGCTGGAAAGAAAAGGGGTTTATTTTACACTGGTGACTTTGCAAAGCCAAGGAGACAAAACACTTAATGAAACAGCAGTAAAAAGCAAGTCTCTTGCCCTTCTTTTATGAAATGGTATAAAAGTCTACAGAACATAGATTTTTTTTATGTTAGATGATTGTTTTTCTTTAGTTTTTCTGAAGGCTGAATGTTATTGTCCATAAAAGTGATACATTGATAGCACTGGCAAAGGGTATTTTGCACTTATGGCCTGAATGACCTTCCTTATATAAATCTGTCATGGTATCCTTCTTGGCCTCCAATGCACTGACATTTTATATCTTAATTAAGTGCTGACAATTCAACCACGTTGTATTTGAAATACAGGCAAGTTATGGACTGGTAAGTCCACATTTTTTTCCTAAAGGCATATTTGAACCCAGACTTCTAGAAATGAAAGACTTAAGGACTCATATGTTGTAGTGCTGTGAAACAACAGACCTTGGGTATGATTATCTTTGAAGGATGAGAGCAACTTGTGGTACAAACATATTGAAACAGGTTTCAGTAGCTACAGCCAGTTTCAAAATGAGATGATCATTAAGTCCATATTAAATTCCCTAACATACTATGTTTAATGCAAAGGTACAGAGAATAGGTTATGGTTCCTACAAATCATTCCTACCGTGGATTAGGGATAGTTTTCTGTTTTGCAAATAAACAGCTAGTTTAGATTAGGGGTATCAAACATCTGGCCTGTGGAGCCCTATCACGTAGCCTGTGGTGCTCCCCATGGATTCCAGATGGGGGACACATGCCACATGTGGCATGCTCCAGACCAGCCTGTATGCCACATGCAGTACTCACTGCCCCTAGCCCCAACTCCATGCCAAGTACCTGGTGTGCAGGGTTGGTCCAAGACACATGCCTCATGTGGCACATGGAGCTGGTCTGGGTGGTATATTGCATGCAGCACCTGTATGAGACCAGCCCTGCACCCTGGATCCAGGCTGCAGGCCCAGTCTCTGGGCCTGATCTGACCACACACCAGCCCCATACCACTCATCTGGCCTGCAGGGCTTGGTGAGTTTGATGCCCCTGGTTTAGAACATGTTCAGTTCTAATACAAACTAAGGAGCATCTAACATTTATGTTTTACAGTAACAGAAAATAACTTGCTTGAGCCAAACCTTGAGAGAGTGCAGCCTTTTAGAAGAGGGAGCTATCGAGCCAGCTTGCGGTAAGCCTTTCTAGCTGCCACACCTCTAGATGCATCTCCACATGTCCATATTTTGTCAGGTTTTCCTCAATCGCATGGTATGGATCCTGCATGGTATCCTGTGTCTGATGCAGACAAGGTATGAGAAAGCTACAGTCACTGTAGCTAGTGCGTATAGAGGCACTGCAGGCACAATCCAGTTGGAAACTTGTAGATTGTTTAAGAAGTGCCTTATCCAAAGCCCATCAAGACAATGAAAAGACTGCTAAACATAGAACATCTCACTTTCTATGCATGCTAAGCATATGTCCTCATACTTAAAGTGAGGGCATAATACACATACCCAGTCCTGACATCCTGCGCAGATATATAATGGCTATAGGACAGGCCAAGTATTCCTCCTTCATTTATGTATCTGAGGTGGCAGAGGTACTATCCTCTAGAAGAGGAGTACCTGATGGGGTTTGTGTCCTGGAGCACCAGAAGGAAGGAAGGAGGGCTCAGGTTTCCAGTTGTGCAGAGCAGAGTTGGGGCAGGCTGCTGCTGTGACAGGAGGTATCACCTCCAATACTTTTCCCTACTACAACTGCTTACTACCCTTACATAAGTTTTATAAGGTGGGCAAGAATCCAAAGTCCTTAATTCAGTGTTGGATGCAAGACCAACGCCAGGTTAACTTGGATCTTAATGGTGATACCTAACACATTCCTTCACAACAGTGGCATCTCCCGTGGGGAGGGGGATGACAAGGGGAACTCTGACTTTGCTCTGCTCCACAAGGCTAAAGGCTCAAGCCCCTCTCCCTCTCCACCTGCATCTGGGACCCTCCTTTACGTTGGCACCCAGGGCTCATTCCTGGTCGCTCTCCCTTTGTTATGCTATTAAGCACTAGCATTTTCTCAGCTGAGTAGCCCTCTGTCCTACTCATACAGTAGACATTGGCTTTTGCAAGACCAAGAATGGGGGCTTTATTTTGTAAAGCCTGCTGACTCTATGCAACTTCTGTAATAATGGATTCTCATCCAAGCAACACCATATAATAATGGATGGAGTTGCCCATGGTACTGAAAACATCTGGACCATATGCTGTCCTTTAGTAAATAGGGTAGTGGAAAATTATGTAAAGCGCTACTTAACATACAAAGCAAGGACCCGGATTCTGGCCTAACATTTTCATATTGCACTCTTCATATTCATGCTAACCACATATATGTATTTACTTTATCTACATATAAGCTGATAGCATGGAAAAATAATTTCTTTGGAATTTAATCATTCTGTTTTGGGAGACTGTATTTTCTTCACATCTAAGGACATTTTTATTACTACTGCTACATAGGCTTGGGCATTAAAAATGCAATCAGAGACAGAACTCCAAAGGTATACCCCAAAACTCCTTGATGGAACTTGCTTAGCAGCGCTTTAGAAATAGGTTATAAGGAAACTATTTATCTGATCTATATTACTACTACTATTACTAAAGGTCATCTGGGATTTCACATTCATGTCTATAACCGTGGCATTTCTTTCCAGAGAGCAGACATCTTGTGATTCAGTACTGTATTTATTAATTTCAGAGGGGAGCAATTCAGACAACACTGCCAAAGCAGCAAGTGTAAGATGCTGAAATCCCAGATCCCGAGACTCCATATTGTCAGGCTAGGTGGAAAGTTAGTATGCATGGTATTACTGTATTCACTGTTCATGTTCCACTACTGTGTGAGGTGGTGTGTAGTACAAGCTACTTTACAGTGGCTGACAGATCTGTAATGAAATTGTTTTGACTGTATTGAAGGAGCATCACTTTTCTGATGCCCTGTCAAACATATTTGATGTGGAACAGAAATTCTCTGATTCTTTTCATGAGTAAACACTGCGACTTTGGTATAAAACCACAGTGAGGGTTGAGTTATGCACCCCTGGATAGACTAAAAAAATAATTCCAGTTCTTCCTTCTGCAGTTTAGGAGATTCAGGAAGGTGGTGGATAGAGTTTGTAGGAGTCCTTAAATTTGTTTCAGTAAGCCCTGATTTCAGATTATTATCTAAACTGACATGAGAAATGAACCACCCTTGAATCTGAGTATGATGTCATCTAGCCCATGAGGGACAGATCTTTTCTATCTTCCATTTCACAGAGCTTCAATTCGGCAGCGTTCCAGGTCTCAGCTCTCTAATGTGGTACCTGAACATCCATTCTCCATTTCAGGAGACCACTCAGATGCTGTATACAATATACTGCATTATGATGAAGACTTTACATCTTCTAAAAAGGTTAGAAACAATAATTCATTACTAGATTGCAGACAGACAAAGCATGTTTTTATGTTATTTGGCTTTGCCTATTGCCTATATGGTATTGTTGGAGCTATATCATCCTGCATACATCCTTTCTGTGTCCAAACAATGATATTACTTCTGGCCTTCTCCTTTACCTTAGCTTGATACTGCTGTTACTGGCTTTGATACATATTTGCCCAAAGACAAATCCTAGTAGACCGTATGTCTGGTTGTAAAGGATTTGCAGTAAGTGTACTCACAAAAGGAAATGTAGTACACAAGAAGGAAAGTGCTCATTTTGTGAAGTACAACAGTCATTTAGAGGTGGAAATTTCATGGCTTGTTCAGTAGTGAACTAGACCTTGAGATCATCTGTACATGTAAAGTCAACAGGGAGTGTAACTGGAACTTGTCCCAGAGCTCATTGAAATCAATTAGTTTTATTCTCTCCATTTCACTGAGCTTTGGATCAATTTTTTGGTGATCTGGAAATGGTGCAGAACTGAGTATGCAGCATATATATTAAGCAACTGCCTTGAAATTGCCAGCACCAGTTAGAACTGCTTCTCTTTGGTGCAGGGCACTATGCGCCTGTTCTGTGAATAAATACAGTACAGTCATCAGGAAAGTGACTTGGGCACCTACCTTAACTATCAGAAAAGGAAAAGCAGGACATTCTCACCCACTCAGTCTTGCAAATTTATACCAGATAGATATTGAAAATGTTTGTTCCCTGGGTCACTTCCAATAATATGACTAAAATATATGATCGAGGCTCAGCACAGTACTTGTTGTTATAACCATCCTGTCTCAAATTAAAGCACAGACTAAGTAATAACTCAGCGATGGATATTCTAAATTTACTGAGACTAATTATGAGTATTCTGCACTTAAGGTGAAGACATTTCACATAAGTGAAGTGTAATTACCAGTAGTATGTGGGCTTGGCTCAAGGTGTAATTTTTGTTCTAATCACAGTTCAAGCACATTGATCTGACACAGAGTCTGTTCAAATGCCTTCAGCACCACTGCTTTGAAAAATTCCATGAACAATAAAATAAGTCCCCTTATTGAGGAAATAATATAAGCGTTCAGTAACAGCTCTTGCACCTGATATGCTCTGGAGGAAGCAGAAGGTAAACTGCCTGAGCTGAGGTGGCTGAAGGCATTATAGCGGCATAGGAAAGCAGCAAAATGTGATGGTCCTAATTAACACCTAATGTGACGCAGTTGGAATCAGGAGTTACCCTAGTGATGAATTCTCCTTGTCTACAGAGCGACTGGAGTAAGAGTGTTGTGTGATATACTTATGACACCACGCCCCACACTGGAGAAGCACAGGCAGTCTTGCATAAGGAAAGAATAATAGAGGGAAGTGGGTTCCTTGCACTTTCTCTCTTTATGGTAGCTTGAAATTAAGACTTAAGCATAACATAAATAAGAGATGGGTTAATATTTGTATTGTTGACAAAGTATTTTACCCTACACTGGGCATGTCGACACAAGATGCTTAACTGCACAGTAGCATAGTTTACTGTGCAGTAAGCGTATGCATCTACATGTGTACATGCCTAATATGCAGTAAACCTTGCTAACCATGAGTAATTTTGCTGCCTGCAAATGCAAGTAGCAAATTTACTTTCGATTGGTATCAGTGCAGTAATGCTCATGTAGACTGACCAAAAGCAAATCTGTTCCCAGTCACCTGCCCACCAGGGGGTGGGAGATTGCTCCCAGCCTCCAGGAGCTCCCAGCTGCTAGAGCAGGTTCCACCACCCAAGCCTAGGCAGGGACTATGTCCCTCTGCCCTGGCAGCAGGGATCTCCAGGCCCACTGCTCCAAGGTCATGATGGGGCATGGGGGCTGGGAGATCTTTATCTCCCAGTGCTAGCTCTGTGATTGCAGGGCCAGCACTGGGAGATAAGGGTCGCTGAGTACTGGCTCCATGACCGCAGAGCTGGTGCTGGTAAATAAAGATCTCCCAGTGCCAGTCTCGCTGTCACAGAGCTATCACTGGGAGATAAGGATCTCCCAGTATTATGGAACTGGCACTGAGAGCTCCCTGCTGGTGGGGCCTGAGGAGCTGGGCAGGGAACAGGATGGAGAGCATGTTCCCCACCAAGCTCTACACTAGCAGAGCTGAGTGGGGAACAAGCTCCCCAGCCTGCTCCCCACCCAGCTCCATGCTTGTGGAGCTGAGCAGGGAACAAAGTCCCCAGCTTGTTCCCCACCCAGGTCTGCATTTGCAGAGCTGAGTGGAGAACAAGCTCTGTGTGTGTGGGGCAGGTGCTGGGAACTGTCCTGTTCAGGGGCAGGTCCCAACCTCATGCCCTGACTGGGTGATTGAGGCACAGGGCTTGAAAAGAGCTACAGGGGTGGGGTAGGTCACAGTCCCCTGCCCCAACATGCCAGTGGGGCAGCTAGCAGTGAGCTAGCTGCTAGATACCCCACCAGCACATTGGGGCAGGGAGTTGGGACCTTCCCCTCCCCTGCAGCTCTTTTCAAGTCTCCTGCCCCTGATTGGGGAGCCAGGGCCAGGATCTCTCTGCTGCTGGGGCAGGGGGACATTGTCCCCACCCTGGAAGCAGGCAGCCCCTGGGGGCAGGGTGTAACATCCCAGTCCTGGCCAGGAAATATGTCTCCTGGCCCCGTGCTCCCTGCCAGCCCTTAGGCTAGCACCCAGGGGAGAGCCTAGAGCTCCCCCTGGTGGCAGCAGGTGCCCATTGCAGGGCTTCAGGAAGTGGGAGCAGTTAGCGGATAAAATTTCCTGGCATGGTCACATTTGATCTTGATAAAAGCAGTAGTTTAGAAAAAGACAAGGCTGTCTGTTGAATTGAATACAGAAGGCAAATTTTTGCTCCCAGCTGTGCACAGAGAGATACTTTGCTCTCTCTACTTCCACAAAATGAAGCTTAGCTGCCTCTGTAACACTATCCATCTCCTTTTAAAATATAATGTGAGATTCTCCATAAGGTCCACGTTGGTTTTGGGGACTGTTCAGGCTGGGGCTGGGGTAGAGGTGGTGTGATGGGTGAAGTTAGGGCTATGCGCCTTGCCATTACCTGTCCTTCACACATTGCTAGGGAAATACAATAGTACTTGTGTAATGCATACATGCTGAGTGTCTGCTCACTTGGAAACAGTCTAAGTGATGTGACACCGTGCTCTTTTAACTGATTGCTAGGAACTTAATGCCCAAGTTAAATTACTCAGAAATTCTCTGTGGATGTTCAGGAAAATGGTCTGAATAGGGTAATGGAGGCTGTGAAGTGGAGCTCACATCACTAAGGCTACCCATTGTGGGTAGATTAATGTTATCTGTTATAAGTGTCATTGTAGAATGCTTCTGCTTCATAAATACAATATATTTTGTAGGAAACTTTTCTTAATGATGAAGAAGGGGAAGTGGAACCCGCACCAGTTGCAAGGATTTTGAAATACAATGCTCCAGAATGGCCTTACATGTTGTTTGGATCTTTTGGAGCAGCTGTGAATGGGTCACTCAATCCACTCTATGCTCTGCTATTCAGTCAGATTCTTGGGGTAGGTCCTGCTAATATTTTTAAACTGCAAAGACTTGTCTTTGTTATTACCTTTACATTGTTAACACCTAGAGTAGGCAAGAGTGCAGAGGAACCAACTGTGAAATAGGAATTGCTACAATCTTGCCTCTGAACTTGACTCCTGTGGCTTAGGGCAAGGCATTTAACTGCTTTGTCATATATTCCAGTCAGTAAAATGGATAATTCTTCCTGCCTATCAGGAAGATGTTCTGATGATTAAACACTGTTCTTGCTCTGTTCTATGTAGCTTCTTATATGAATTTTATCAACATAATAGTTCAACTTCTTGAAGAAATGAATTAAGTGACATGACTCACTTCTATTGTGTATTTCCTTCTTTCTATCATTCTTTTTCAAATGGCAAAATGTGTGTTCAATGTGTATATATGGTATGTTTTTGTAGTTTGAGGTATTGTACATAAGAGCATAACATTTCTTGTGGAAGTGTACACACTATCTTATGTTTGTTTTAGACAAGGCAAACTTGAAGATGTCCATCTGCTAATCACAGGAGATTTGTAATGCTCTTTAATATTTGTTGTGTTTTGTTCCATAGTCTTGGACTGTCCCCCAAGATGACTTTTGGTCAGATCCAAAAGGACTGAAAGTTAGGTGCTGTTATCCTGAACTTTTAGGAGCCGGCCTCCTGGAATGGAATCCAAAACCCTGAGCTAGGTGTCTGGGCTCTCTAGTTAAAGTGAAGAGTTAGGCACATTGGCCCAGGATCTACAACAGCCAACATGCTCAGCAGAGAGTTCCCTGAAGTCCACACACTCCAAGTGCAGTGTCCTAAATCTAGCCCCTCACTCAGGGCTGCAGGGAGGTGCCACAGCAGTTGCATATAATCTTTCTGTTAGTGAATGAGCAAGGGTCACTCTTCTTTTAAAATGAAGCCAAAGTAGAAAGTGATGGTGCTGTCCCCTTTTTAACCAGTAATTTAATGGTAGTCCAGGATGTGAAACCTCAGGATTCACTTTCCCTGTCTACTTGAAGGAACTCAAACACACATCTCCAATATCAGAGGAGAGTGACTTAATCACTGGGATGGTCTCAATTGCTCCTGGTAAAGTTGTTCCACATTGTATAGAATAATAAAACAATCATTGGACAATACAACAAGACAGAGTGATAGTAGCCCAGTGGCACCCATCTGGGAGAAGGCATCTCAGTTCTTTTCCATATTCCCGTGAATAATTTGTTATTGTATAAACGTGCATAGATTCATGGAAAACATCCCACTCCATACTAACCTATCTACTGGTGGTTAGGGCAATCTCCTAGGAAGTTGGAAAATTGGAGGGGCGTCTTCCTTATCTTAGCTGAGTGGTCTAATCACAGTGCTAATGATTAAAATAAAAGGCTTAGGTGCCTAACTCCAGGACAGAGTTCAGGATTGAGAGTCCTGATAGGAGGGAGGGAGCACCTTTCAGTCCAAAATTAGGCACCTAATTCTAAGTCCTAGACAGAAGTAGGATTTAAGGCACATCCTTGTCTTTGACATATCTTGTTGGCTATTAAGGTGGCTCTCTACTTAGCATGGTTGGCTTTGTGGACCCCACTGTAGACACCTATGCATTGTCTAGTAACCTGGGCCCCTAACTCAAGGCTGTGGACAACACTCAGTAGTATGGGACTTAACTGTGAGGTGCTGTAATGCTCACTGTTGGGATGGGTAACTCTCTTTGGGGATTTATCAAAGGAGCCCTATAGCAAGTTAGGTGTCTAATACCTTTCCAGATTAGTACCTCAATACCTCCTGCAAGATGCTTCATTTTCCTGGTTGAATGTATCATCTGCAAGCCTGAGACCCAGTGAAAGGGAGTTCACTCAGCACTTTGAAAAAGGCATTGCAATTCCCAGAAGAATTGGGACCTGACTTTCAAAACAAACTCCATGTCTTCTTATTCCTAAACTTACAAGGGCTTTGCTGTACTACTGCAGAGCCAGGCACACAGCCTGCTAATAGATGGAGCATACATCCTACTCCAAGAGCTGTCTGAACACCCTACTTGATACTGATGATAGATGTATTGTCCTGTGCTCTAGGAAAAATAAACTCAGGAAAGGAAACAAAACACATTTGCTAAATAGAAAAGCATCTAGTAGAATGAGAGACATGTTTTCAAGGTACTCAGATGTTACCACAAACAATAAATAAAGGACCAGACAAAGATTTTTAGCAGGAAACCAGAACATGAACACAGGCAAAAGCATCAATGTGTGCACAGAGCTGGCTAGTTCTACCTTACATTACAAATTTTCAGGGGCAGACTATATCCCCAGTGAGGTGAACTGGCTCTCCCGCAAGCAAATACTAACTACATTTTCAGCCACAGGGTGCAGTTTGGGAGGAGGGATGTAGGGGATCTGAACTATATTCCCAGTTTATAAAAGCATCTCAGCACATGCTTAGCTATCTCAGTTGAGGCTGCGCTTTGTTTTTAGCACATGCTTAAGTCCTCTTCACTGTCCTGCTTTCTTGAGGCCAAGGCTTGTACTAGGTACCCTAGAACGAATGGCAACTGACTCAGTCATAAATTTTGTTGGGACTCTTGCAAACTTCCTATTTACCTGGGAGCAGCACATATTCTCCTCTGTATCTGTCTAGGCCTGTCTCCTTTAAGGAATGTGGGCATAACCTAGCCCTGTCCTCATAACATCCTTATATCCGGTGGAGAAGATTCACTTCCATTGACTAGTCTTACTGAAGTCAGTAACAGTTTTGTTATCAACTTAAATGTAAGTAGGATCCTTGTTCAGTGTCACTTACTATCCCGTTCTGAAGATGATAGGCAAATATAATATATTTCTTTATAAATAATTATGTACAGGGATGCACTTTTACACATTTAGCATAATTCCAAAGAATTTCTCTTGATAATGACTGGCTCTTAAACTGTGGTTCCTAGTAAGAACATGTTTTTACCAAATTTTTGTGAATAATCTGTGGTCCATTGATCATTGGCAGTTCACAGATGTCACCACCTCATCCCCTTTTTACAGTTAGTAGTTTGATGATAAGAATGCCAGTGATTCACAAGAAATAGTGAGGTTGTTAGCAGTGGCTTCCAAAACATTTGCCCCAAAGTTTTGGAAGCCACTGCTCTGCAACACTTAGTTTCATGTAATTTATAATTTCCGTATTCCACTGGAGAAAGACAATACACACAGGGGAAAGAGACATAAGATATTCTATTTTCATGTGTTTTATGGATCACCTTAGCACATTTGAGTGACTGAGCAGAGCAGACATACAACTTGCTCACAGAAAGTCATAAGAAACCATGAAGTTAAATGTATTTTACTCTATTTCACAACTGCATTATTCATATAATCCATAGCACATAGTGTTTTATGTATATATTAATATTCCTGTGCCCTTCAGTGTGCTTTCTGCTTCTGCCATTTCAGATGAAAGATGAGAGTAACCATAGTAATTAACATCCACTATATGGCAGCCATCTGTTGTTATCATGCTTGCATTGTTTGTACTGGCTATATACATGAAATGCTCACTTTACTAATATTTTCTGCCATTTATATAACCATTTAGACATATATTTTGCATTTACACTGTATTCTTCAATAGTAGAGAAGAAAACAAGAACTTACAGCCCTTACACTGTTACTAGGCATCGTTTACTAATTCAAACTCAGTATACAACATAGTTTATAAAGGCACTAACTTCACCTTCCTGTGTCTTATTTTGTTCAGATATAAAATTGAACTAAATCCTACTGAGAAACAGATGCTGCATCTTCACTTTATCTTTTTTTCGTACATAAATTACAAATATAAGCCAAAGTTGCTCACAGTCTGAGCTATTAAGGAAAAAATGAGTTACAGAAGTGTATTGTAGGTAGCATCAAGCTGAAAAGAACTGCAGCAGATATATTATCACGTTATGACCTTGTAGTGCTGAATAAATAACAAGAGACTGCATAATTTTTTTAAGTAGATGAAGCCAGTCAAGTCATATACTCTGTGATTGAAAGTATTAGCATAGAATAGATGTTTGGAACAAACTGTCTCTCAAAACACTAAATAGTATCCATCCAGGCATCATTATTTTTTCAGAGTTTAATTTGTTGCCAGGAAGTCAATACACAAAGTTAAAAAAAATACTTTGCAATGGAATTTCCAGTAGAGAATAACCATATTTATGAATTTCATACTCCAGTTTCTTCTAAACACTTTTTTGGAGAGATCGTTGTTAAACCATAACTAAGTTTGGGTACACCTTTTAAGGCTAAAGTTTAAATGTAGTTTGTGGTATTTTATACCGTAACTAAAAATAATGTTTCAGCATCTTTTCTTATTGCCAGCTATGTAACCATAAGAACTTAAGATGGATTAGATCTAAGTATTAGAGGTCAAACACCATGCTCTTTCCTTAGAGCAAAGCATGCTGATATGTGAACATGCCTTCTAAATAAATGCCCTGCTTGCCCAGCACTAGTTATGTTACTGCCCGTGCCCCTACTGTCTGGGTCTCTTTCAGATCCCCTGCTCTTCTTCCCTGTGGGCTAGCAGACTGTTCTGGGTGTAATGGGCATGTTCAGCAAGCAGCGTTATGTTCAATGATGATCCTCCTTGAATTTTATGGATCTAGATTTGGGCCTAACCTTTGTGGCTCAAACAGACTCCTCTAGATCCAAAGAAGAACTTATTTCATATGGTGCTCTGGATATTAACTTCACAGCTAAGCCCTATCTCTGGTTAGATTTAAAAGCATGACTGTTCAAACGTAATCCATCCTAAAGGATTTCAGACTTTAAATAAATATTACATAATTTAGATACTAAAACAAACTTATAAGTCAAGATTGTGCTTAAAGGTTTTCATACAATGGGCTGTCACAAAATGAAACCTAGGTGGTGGTCTGCTTCTGTATTTCTCATAGGAATCACTGTGAAAATGAACATTCAGGTTCCTAAAGACAAAAGCACTTCAGTGCCCAATGCTTACAAACTACAAGAATATTAATAGAAGTGTGATACATGCAAAGAAATGAAAACTCTAAATAAGTGTTTAGGATGTGTTTTTAATTTTTAAATTGGGAACATTTCTCTGGTAAATTTAGCCTGGTTCTATTTATTTATATTGCTACACTGTCATTATAGTGAGTGTGAAATAATCAAATAATGTCTGATTTGCATTTTGTATTTAAATGTGGGTTGCCTCAGTTCCAAGAAGTGTTTAGTCTTTTAACCCTGTGAATTCTGACAGTGGAGTAAAATAACTTTTCATATGAGTTTCTATGAATGAAGGCAGAAAAATAAAGCTGACTTCTAAAGTTTGCTGTCCAGACATTCAGAGGGTATAAATCAATAAGGCTCTGAAGTCAATAAAGCTACATTTATTGCAACAGCTGAACATCAGGCCCATGATGGCTCAACCCAGTGGTGTTCAACCTTCTAGCTGGGCTGAAGGAGTGCTGCAGGGCCTGTCTGTGGGCCAAATCCTGCATGCAGAGCCAGTCAGTGGGTATGATCTAGCACACCGGTCCACCTGTACATGCTGGCTCACTCTTGTATGTAGCTTGACCTTGTGTGTTGAATTAGGTCACATGCCAGCCTGACCCTGCCTGCTGGATCTGGACACATACTGGCCCAACTCCTCCAACAGCCTTATCCTGTGTACAGAATCTGGATGTGGAATAACCAATGGCTCCACTGTGTGCTGGCATGATTTAGCAGATCAGGCCATATCATCCAGCACACAAAGTTCTCCATGGGTCTGGAAATTTGGCAATAGGGGAGTGGCAATTAACCCCGTCATTGTTCCCTCATTGCCAAATTCTTGGAACCATCCATAGGCCAATGACAACTCTTTGGGCCAAATCTGGTTCATAGGCCAAAGCTTGAGCACCACTGGTTTACTGTCAATTTAAGGGACCAATTTTATATCCTGTCCATTATGATAAGGAAATTCTTCCCACTCGCTAAGCCAGGTGCCTCAATTGACAATCTAATGTTTATACTATTCCATTTTTTTTCAAGACCTTTTCCATTCTTGATGAGGAAGAGCAAAGATACCAGATAAACACAATCTGCTTGCTCTTTGTGTTTGTTGGTGTTATGTCACTTTTCACACAATTCCTACAGGTAATAGAAATTCATTAAACTTTCTTTTGCTCGTTTCTTTTTCTGTGCATACATTTGTCTGTACAGTAACTGTGTTTGTTCTTGTGCTATCAGGGATATGCATTCGCTAAGTCTGGTGAGTTGCTTACAAGACGATTAAGGAAAATTGGTTTCCAGGCTATGCTGGGGCAAGAGATTGGTTGGTTTGATGACCACAGAAACAGCCCTGGTGCTTTGACAACAAGACTTGCAACAGATGCATCACAGGTTCAAGGGGTAAGAAATCAGCTTGAAGCAATAATTTTACTATGCTGCTGGCTAATTGATTGTCTATATTAGTATGGTATATCACAAAAATAACTAGAGAATATGTTGTAATATACATCTATCTATCATTCTGTCCAATCCCAATCTCTGTCTGTCAAAGACCGTGGTTCTAACCTTTTTTTTGGCTCACAGCATCCTTCCACTACTTTTAGAATTTAATAGCAGCCCATATCAAAAATTAAACTCATTTTTGCACTATGAAAAAATAATAGAGATATTCTTTTATTATGAATAACACAGAAAGACTACAACAGTTCATCATGTTTTTTGACCCTATGTATTCCTATTTTGAAATCTCTGCGCGTGTCCAGACAAGTGTGCATGTGCATTTCCCTAGAGACAAATAGCAGCGGCACATAGTTGTGCCACTGCTACTTGTCTCTGGGGAACACCGATGCATACATGCTCTGGTGTGTGGCTTTGGGTTGGGCAGTGGAGGCTGGGGCCAGCACCTGGGCTGGCCCCAACATCCTTACCCGGAATTCTGGGGGCCTCACGGAGCTCCAGCAACAATGGTCCAGTGCACGGAGCCTGGCTGGCAGCCCAAATATCGCTTCAGCAGGCCAGGCTCCACTTTTGGGTGGTTCACACTGACACCACCCAATGATCCCATGATCGCCTCTTGGAGAAACTGGCCAATTGTCGCCTTGGGTCCTCCACGATCCACTGGCTGGAAAATTGGCTCCGGGGTCGGACCCAGAGAATAGTAAATGATGGATAAAGCCAATTTGAAATTGGGGGATGGGAAATACAAGACTTCTTCCATATGCCATTTACAACTTTGTTTTTGGGGGGTTTTTTACCCAGTAAATGAGAAGAGTGGTGATTCCTCAAAATTCTTGAGTAATGTCAGAAGTATTACTAACAACCATATATTAAAGTGTTGTTGTGGTTCCCCCGCCATTCCTGCGTATGGAGAGTTGGGGCTATCTTTAAAACGAAATTTGACAACTTAAAGGCTTGTCTATACTGCAACCATATGCGACCAAAACGCTGGCTTGCATCCATAGATGCTTCTCAAGCAAATCCCGGGACGTCATTCTCCCCCTGTACTCGGCCTTAGTGAGGCTGCAGCTGGAGTACTGTGTCCAGTTTTGGGCTCCACAATTCAAAAAGGATGTGGAGAAGCTTGAGAGAGTCCAGAGAAGAGCCACGCACATGATCAGAGGTCAGGGAAGCAGACCCTACGATGACAGGCTGAGAGCCCTGGGGCTCTTTAGCCTGGAAAAGCACAGGCTCAGGGGTGATCTGATGGCCACCTACAAGTTTATCAGGGGTGACCACCAGTATCTGGGGGAACGTTTGTTCACCAGAGCGCCCCAAGGGATGACGAGGTCGAATGGTCACAAACTACTTCAAGATCGTTTCAGGCTGGACATAAGGAAGAACTTCTTTACTGTTCGAGCCCCCAAGGTCTGGAACAGCCTGCCACCGGAGGTGGTTCAAGCGCCTACATTGAACACCTTCAAGATGAAACTGGATGCTTATCTTGCTGGGATCCTATGACCCCAGCTGACTTCCTGCCCTTTGGGCGGGGGGCTGGACTCGATGATCTTCCGAGGTCCCTTCCAGCCCTGATGTCTATGAAATCTATGATATGAAATCTATGAAACCACATGTGCCGCCCTGCTTTTTTCAGGTGTAGAGTTTTTTTACACCAGGATTTCCTGGGGTCCTGGGGGCCAGGGAAGGTGCAGCTGCAGTGCTCCTGCATCTTGGAGCCCAGCCAGCAGCTGAAGCATGGCTCCAGTGGGCCAGGTTTCGGTTTTGGGTGGCGTGTGCTGCACCCACGTGCACCACCCTGCTTTTTTTCCCCCACACATAGGTCTGCAGTGCTACATAACACACAGCAATGCTCATTTAGACGCAGCTTCTGGTTTTATCTATTGTGTCATGAGTAGGTGTTTGTATACCTAACAGTGCTTTAAAAGATCTCACAGCACCCTAAAACCAAGGATGCTACAACACTCTGGGTGAGAATCACTTGTCTAAGCTATTTCTAATGTCTGCAACCTTGAACTGTCTAGATAGATTGGAAGCTATCAGCTATTCCATATGAATATATAAGACCAAACTTTACTGCCTGTTATTACCAGCATAAACCAGGCAAGGCTATGAAAGTTAACAAAGTTACCACCAGTCACCCATGTAACTGAAAGAATTCAGGATGTCAGTTCTAATTGCACCCTCTTGAAGATATATTTACTAAGCCTTTGCCAAGAGGATTAAATGCACATTTCAGAAACATACTGCACTCATTTCCAACAAATTTATCAATGTTAGGATCACTGTTATAAATAGATTTCAGTCTAGTTTGCAGTTCATTACATATGGCTGTTGTGAGTTAGGCTAACAATAAAAACAACTTGCCTATGACAAGGCATACCTGTTGAGAGTCAATATCATGTTGGCATAATATCAGGTCGGCATAGTACTGTAGTGTAGTGCTCTCATTGTCCAGGAAAAACTGATTGCTGAAAGCACCATGTTTTAGCACTTCCTACTAGATAAAGATATGCACTGCTGGGTTGTGTGTGCTTATACCTCATGAATGTATTGAAGTGGTTCTCAATCTTTTTGAACTTGAAATGCACCTTCCTAACTTTTGTGAATTGTGTGGAACCTAATATAAAAACACTAATTTATATAATACAGTGTTTGCCTCCTTTCAGAGGGGTCCAGCAGTGGGGAGTGAAGAATCATCGAGGAAGGGACAAGCTTGAGCCTGTGCTTATCTACTTAGTTTATCTCTAAAAACCTCACTTATCTCCTCATACTTGTGGCACCATGTTCAAAAAACCTCATGGCAACCCAGGGTTGAGAATCACTGCTATATTGTTACCCATCTAAAACATATGAAGTATAATTTTATTTGACTGTAAAGCAAGAAAGCTGTTTCTAGAAACTCAGGAAGAAGTATGTGGGCATCTTCATTACTAACATATTTTTCTGTTTAGTTTAACTGGCAACCACAGCCTAATTTCTTTTCATTTTTTTGAAGGTTTTTGGTGATTTAAAAGAAGAATGAAAAAAAGGTTTTGTCTGTAGCATCCTACTGGCATCCAACATTATTACTGAATGCCTGTACATGTGCAGAGAGGCTGCTCCGAGGCGCTGTAATTGCAGCACGTCAGAGCAGACTCAATTAATTGAGGTGCTAGAGCATGCTAGTTAGTAGGGCTGTGTGAAGCTTCAGTTCCCGATTCGATTTGGTGGAGATTTGGCCCGACTCGGTGGCTGAATCTCTGAATCCGAATCGAATCGGAGGACCATTTAATCTCTCCAGATTGAATCAGAACCCTCCAACTCGATTTGAAGAGATTCGGAAAGATTTGGTGATTCGGACATAGACACAGCTTTAAATGTTTTTTTTTTTTTTTTTTTTTTTTACATACCTCTAGGTAGCAGGTGGCTTGTGAATGCTGTGATGCTGGGGCACACGGAGTGTCTCACAGGAGCATGGAGGCTCCCCAGCACGATCAGCAGCAAACCCGGAAGTGGACCAGAAGCACTTCCTGTCCACTTCTGGGTCTGCTGGGAAGCACATAGGGCCCCCCCACCCCCGCACCCCCTGGCTTAGCGACTGGTGCCTCCTGGGTCGGGGCGGCACCTAGAGTCCCCCCGCAGCCGATTGCTGAGCTGGGGGGCACGGTGGGGCCCCCTGCATGCTCCCCGGAAGACCCGGAAGTGGACCAAAAGTATTTTTGGTCCACTTCCAGGTTCACTGCCAAGTATGTGGAGCCCCCCCCCCCGCCGGCACTCCTGTGGGACGCTCCATCCGCCCCAGCATCGCAGCAATCACAAGCTGGGCTGGTACCTCAAGGTATGTAGAAGAAACATTTAAAGCTGTGTCTACATCCAAATCGCTGATTCTCTGAATCAGCACTGAATCTTCAGATTTGGATTCAGCCAAATTGAATCAGGGATAGTGATCTGAATCAACTAATCGAATCACTGTCCCCGATTCAGGCCGAATCTGAATCAAATAGAGCCCACTTCGCACACCCCTACTAATTAGCACCCTCCAGGCAGCCTCTCTCTCTCTAATGTATCAGCATCACCGCACTTCAAAATGGTGGTGGTGGCACTTAAATTAAAGCTCGTTCACTGAGCTTTAAAATGCCCTCACCACCATTTTGAAGTGTGGGGACGCTGATACACAAGACATTATGGGCACTTTTAAGTACAGCGGCTCTTAGAGCCACTTTAATTAAAGTGTTCCCCCCACCGGAGCACATGTAAAAACGCTCTACAGAATCTGAGAAAACATCAGTAAACCCCTTCTTACAGTTACATTCACATGCAAACACTTACAGGTTCCATTTTAATTTGATTATGAATTTTTTTTAACACTAACTGCCTTACAGCACCTTTATTAAGGGAGACTTTGTTTTAGATCAGTGATTTCAAGCAGGGTGTTGTGTCACCCTAGGGTGCCTTGAGATCCTTTCAAGGGTGCCCCAGAGTGCTACACAATTTTATCACTGTTAGGCAACATAAACCCAGAGATTTCCAAAAAGAGCCCATAGTTTAAAAAACATTCTGCCCTGTTGTGGTCTTTCTGAGTTCTTTGCAACAGGAAAACTGCTCTACTAATTTTCCATAGTCAAAAAATTAGTGAAAACTAAGAGCTAGCATTTCCAAGGGGTGCCTCAAATATAATGAAGGTTGCCTCTAATTGAAAAAGGTTGAGAATCACTGTTATAGACCATGTTGAAATTGTTGTCACTGGACATGTCTACATGAGATACTACTGTGCAGTGGTTACTGCGCATCTGTTTAGTACTTGTATAATCAAGTACTATATAAATGCACAGTAACCAGAATTACTGTGCAGTAGCATGGCAAACACCTTTTAAGTGATGCTACTGAGCAGTAACTGAATAATACTGAGTGCATGAGTGTCACAGCACCAACAGTTCTAATATGCCACTGTGCAGTATAATTCAGCTGTTGCACAGTCAGTGTCTTGTGTAGACGCTCCTCTTGTAATCTTCACAGAAAGCCAGAGCTAGGAAAGGAAGAAAACCAAGAATTTTTTTCAACCACAAAGCTCAAAAGTTGTAGTTTCTGAATTCACTGAACACTAGAAAGATTTTTAACTTCTGCTTTGCCAGGGAATAGGTTTTCTACATTACCCATTCAAAAAACATAAGCCTAATGTTGTTTACTATGTGCCTACACTGTCTCTGCATCTTTTAATAGCCCTCAAAAATATTTCCCTGCTTTGCAACAATTTTTCAAACAGAAACGAAATGCACTTGGCTCTCCATAACTGTCAATTTAAGGACATATATAAAATACAAAAAATGAATAAATGGGAATGCCATATCTAATGCATACTCTACATCAGAAGGAAATGGGGGGGAAGCACCCTAAATTCATGCAGATATGTCTGTAGTTCCACATCGAAGTTTCCCT